CTAGTCCTCTCTTGGTTATGCCACTAAAAGCAGAACAGTTTTCTTAAAATAGTTGGAGAATCTAAACATTGTATGCTTTGGGCATTATTACAATTTCAATCTGATTTGTTTTACCCATATTGAAACCTGACTTAAATCGATAACAGCACAAACTACAAAACAAGAAAATTTATTAAACAAGTGGAAGTTTTGCTTTCACTAAATTTTCATCGAATAATATTTGACATCTTCATTCATGTCTATAAAATATTGTTTAATGAGACTGTTTTTCTTTTCTTTTTTTAATTTTAGACAATTTTATCTCAAACGATAGCAACAGTTGTGTGATATTAGATGATGATGATAAAACAAATTCAAAACCGGTAAACAATACAGACCAAAATGAAATTGTTGCTGACGATGACTGTTACTCTGTTGATATTGCTGATTCATAAGATCACTTTTGTCTTTTTTCTCTCTCTCTTTATAAATATGAGTGTCTTCTCACTGTTATTAAATTTTCTTCTTTTCATTGTCTAATTTCTTTCTTCTTTCTATTGTTCGTATGTATTACAATGTGTTCTTCTTTCTTTCCAGAAAAAAACAACCAAAAAAAAACACCATTATCCATCCACACACATGTGAAAATTACTATAAAAATTTATAAGAAAATGATTTGTAGATTTCATAACCATTGATAAATATCAAATCTTCAAATAACATACTATTTTCTTCAACAACTAACTGTGTTGACTGCTCAATTTTTATTTACATGCAGCACTTCTCGCTGTTGAAATATGAGTGAGACAAGAAATACATGTTTATGCTAAGTTCATTTATAGTTAAAGGTTTAGATAGAATGATTTTTTTGTCGATTTTCTATTATATTCTGACGAAAAAAGACATTGGAAAACTAAAAACTATCTTAAAATTTTTTTGCAGCTACTTGACTAGGAAATTCGTATTCAGTTTTTGTCAATAGAATCAGTATTGAAATTTATTGCTTTGATATAAGAGTATTTCTAAAAGCTATTTTGTGAAATTTACATATATTTTTCAAGAAAATGATGAATATAAGTTAAAATTAAGGTTTTCTTCGATTCCTCTCTCTAACTCAAACAAGTCCGTGGGGGAGAGAAAAGCCAGAGATCATTGAGTAGGTTTTCCTAACAACGGAAAAACACATGTTAGTAATAAAAATGCTCAGAGCATTCTAGAATGCTCTGAAGTATTCCACGAATCGAAGATTGCGACTGTAGGTTCTAACTGGTCTAACTAATGCAGGTTTTGGTAATTCATGCAATGAGAGAATCGTATTATAGATATCAATCAGTAGGGCGATGGAATTATTAATCTAGTAAAGTCAGAATAGGACAAACATAAAGTATGAACGAGTTGAATTCTAAGTTTAGGCAAAACTCAACAGTCTATGTAACAGTTCATCTAGAGAAAGGATTGTGTGCATAAAAGCTTACTGAATGATTAAATTAATATGTAAAGCAGGATAATATGGTGGTTGAACTGACGAAACGAAAAATAAAATGATATTTGCTACTTTCTACGGCAGAATTCATATATATTTTCATTAGGAGAAAAGAAGTTATGGATTGAAGATGTATCTGATAATACAAATAAGTTTTTTCAGTACCATGATGTTAAATGAATCTAATAGATTGGAGAAGATAAGTTCTAAATATGATCATTTTCGAAATGATAATATTTCCCATAAATTTATAATAGTCAGTTTGTGTGTTCCGTACTTTAGTCCTACATAGACTTGCACTGACAAGTTTTTGATTCGAAAGGAAATATTTTCGTAATTCTAGTTTTTGCAAGTTGGAACTTAATCACGCGAGATATTTCTTTATACAAGAATATTAATCAATTTCCAAGTCGATAAAAGCCTAATTTTTTTCTTAAATTCTAGAGAAAATATATCGTCATACAGTACACATACAGGAATTATAAATACACGTATAAAGCTACAAGTACATGATGAATTTTCATGATCTTATGACATGTTAAAGGAATAATAGAACGTCTGAAACTTTCAAGAGATCAATATAAAACGAGTTCTGAAATTGATACAATTTAAGCTAAGTAAGATTTTTCCACATTCTTCATAAAATTCCTCCTATTGTCACCATGAACTACAGAGAAAATTTCGAACAACGAAAGTATAAAATATGACGTGATACTGTTGATCAAAAGACTACAGACGATATCAAATAAAACAATAATCAACCAGTTCGTGTTTTTTTGAAACATATAAGTAAAAGAGTTCTTACAGTTACATTCTAGTAAGCCTAGCGTCATCTTTCCAAAATCATAAAAAGTACAAAATAAGTTTTTAGTTCGTCAAACAATTTTTTTTCCTCATTAGGTATGTACTATTCTCTCGAATATCATATCAAAGATGACCTTTTCCTGTAGAGACAATACCTTACTCAGCATTTTTTGCTCTATCCAAAGCTGTGATCCGAATTCATGAAACACAAAATATAGGTTTCGGAGTTGATCAAAATTTTTCTAAAATTTACATTTTTAGAGTCAACTTCAATCACCTTGAACATCCGTGCTCTGTATTCAATGACATCTAACATTACTTTCTGATAGAGCTTTCAATATTGATCATAACCACGATGAAGAGTTGTTGGAACTTTGATAGGTCTCAGTGCTAGAAATATACTAATATTCGACTTGGAATTCCAAGAATTCGTATGTCTATCCTAAAAGTAACAAATTCCCAGAGTTGAGAACTATCAAAGTTCCGACAACTCTTCATAGTGGTTGTGACTAATATTGAATGTTCTATCAGAAACTAATATTAGATTTCACTAAATACAGAACGCAGATCTTTGAAATGATTGAAATTGACTATCAAAATGTAAATTTTGGTCAACTTCGAAAACCTTTATTCTGTACTGCACGAATTCGGACCACAACTTTGGGAAGAGAAAGAGAATATGAGTTAGGCTGATTGGAAGAATCAACAAGTACTTACGTTATCTATGCAGAAAAAAGTCATCGTGGATATGATGTTACAGAAATTAGCGTGTGTCTATTTCTTGCATGTTTCCATTCCGATATAGACTGATATTTACAGTACATACTGTGGACGCTCAATTCCATCTCTATGACGAAATTTTATCTTTTAGCATATTATTATTTCAGAGATACAAGTAATGTGAAAATCACTAAAGTTGTTCAGTTAATTTTTCAATTATCGGAAAAAAGAAAAATTCTAGTCTTTCGATCACTCATTTATTACGATTAAATTTTAGTTTTCTTCATGTCACTGTTGTTTTTCTGTTGTTTGCTCACACTGTCATTAATAAAGAAAAAATGTTCGATCTATTTTCTCTCGTGATAGTAACATACAGAAACAACAAAACATATAAATGCATTAAATGAACGTAAAATGGATCACATAATAATTAAGTACATTAATAATTATTAACTTCTAGTTTTATTTCTGATTTAAGTTACATTGATTTTCTTTTTTAACTGAATGAATTTAGCCTATGAGGATTTTTTTAAAATATTTCAAACTAGATGAATTAATCTACACTTAACTCCATAGGATAAGAAAAATTTTTTCATTCATTGCAGCACATAATTGATCTAGATGACCTGTAGATATATAAATATGGATACATGATTTATTATTATGTTCTTTAGAGTAAGTTGACCTGTAAATCTTTCTCAATAGAGTATCTCTTATGTGATTCTATTTAGGGAATCCGATAGTTATCTTGTTAGAAAGAGCGAAGTCTCCACTAAAAAAGTGTATAAAACTATTTGATTCAAAATTCTTACCGAAGTCTGAAACTTTCTCTGCAAACTTCTGGCATTTTGAAGAAAGCTTCTAGCTACTAAGAAATTTGATTTAGTTTTTTGTTTTTTATCGAATTTTATAGCACTATAGTAGGGTATTGTAAGCAGATAAAAATATGATTTTCAATTTATCGGTTAAATTCAAACCTGATATTTTTCTCACGACTTTTGCTAGCAAAGAGTATTTCCAACTAATAAATGATCTCGAAAAATAAAATTTTTTTCCAACAATCGAAATTGATTAAATCCCATGTCTTATGTTCAATTAGAGTTTAGTGAGCCCTTTAAAAAAGCATATTATATAAAACATAATACAGTTTTCTTCTTAGACATTATGAGAAAACCTTCATTTTGCGCTCTAAAAAGAAAAATAAAGCTTTTTAATAAATCTATTTCCTATGAAATATGTGGTTTTGTAACTCGAATATTTTGTTGCCATTAGAAAACTCGTATCATACTGATTATATTGACAGATAAGGTGCCTAAAATCTTCGAAAGTCAAGTGAAAGATATATCGATGAAGTGCACTTCTCATTACTGCTTCGGTATAAAATTGCAACTCATTTATTCCAGCTAAACATGTCCTTAAAATTTTTCAGCCTTCAATGGTGAACCAAATATTTTAACATAAGTTTCTAGTAGAGATTCTATTCTTTCTAACAAGAAAAATATCAAGTCTCCACAATAAGTTTTTTGTAATGCTATACTTAGAAACAAAATTAAGGCAGAACTTTTACACCTTTCGTTATTTGTATCCCTGAAACAATAATATATAGAAAATTAAACTTCTAGCATTGAATAGATTTCGACATGGAGTGTTATGCATTATGAATCTCATTTTTCACTGATAAACAAACATATGAGAAAAGAATATTCCTGGAGAAAATCAAAATTTATATTACGTGCTTTGTATACAGAATGCCATAGAGTTTTTATTTTCTTTTTCTTTTTCTCTTATAACGCTTAGTATGACTTTCTTGTATCAATATTTAAATAAGACAAAAACAATTGAATTTATATGAGTCACGAAATAGCGAGTGTGGCAGACAACGTCGTCGTAAACAGTTACGGGGCAATAGAATTGCGCAAGAATATTGTGAATCCTTTGATATTGACGGAATTCATATAGATATTCAGAAGAAAAAGACTTTCTTATGATTTATTATAGATTACCAACATAAAAAATGGCTTATTTTCTTATTAGTGATTTGATGACCTGGACATTATTGATTTCATTCATAGGTATCTTTGCTTATTATGTGTGAGTACTTTATTAGGCTCATTTATCATTTCGGATTGATAATTTGATGATGCAAATTCTAGCTACAATCTGCGTAAGAATAATATATTTCGTCGTCTTGGAATCCCTGGTCCAGCACCTATTCCATTCCTTGGCGAGGTGCTTAATTTTATACGTAAGGTAATGGGATTTATCCTTTCATTTGAATTTAATCTCAGGGTTTTTCTTAAGGGCGTGAAAAATAACGATATCGAACTGGTTCAAAAATACGGAAAAATTATCGGGTGGGTGAAATCTCACAGATATTAGAGCATGTCGAGAGATTTTAGAGTCAGTCAATAATAATGTGTTAAATAATTGTAAACGCTATTTAGAGTTTTTGAAGGAACAGCTCCAATTATTCTTCTTTCGGATCCAGATCTTCTTCGAAATGTACTTATCAAGGATTCTAATGTGTTTGTCAATCGACGAGTAAAGCATTAAAACTTTTTTCTTGTTCATGGTTGAATGTAATTACTTTTCTTGGTAGACTATCGAGAATATATCAGGTCCTTTTGAACATGGACTTACAATATTAAAAGATGAACAATGGAAAAATGCTCGATCAATTGTTTCACCAACATTCTCTACAGCAAAACTCAAAGCAGTAAATATCTCTATTAGACACTATTGTTTTTTTTTGTAGTCTATCTTTTTAGATGCATGGCCTTATGAATGAAGTGAGCGATATGTATAACAATCGCCTCCTAGAATATGCTGATAAACAAGAAATATTTAATGTTAATATGTATGTCTGCCTTTTTGCTTATTGTTATTATTTTCGATATAGCTTTGTTACAATAATAGACTTAATGGTCAATATACACTTGATAATATCGCTTCTTGTCTATTTGGTATTGAAACAAATTCATTAAACAATGAGAATGTCACTTTGATTAATCATTTGAGAAAATTTTTCACTATAGATCTAACAAATATATATATTTATATTACTGGTAAGTGCATCTCAATGAAAATTAACAACCTTATGTTTTTGATTGTTATATTCATATTTGTTAAAATAGTAATATCACCACGACTGGCCAGTTATTTAGGAAAGAAAGGTTATTCAATGTTACCATCTGATGCTGTTAATTATACAACTGATCTTGTAAATCAAATATTAACTCGACGTCGACAGCATTTAGAAAGACGAAATGATTTCATTCAAATGATGGTTGATCATGAAGAAGAGGTAAAAAATGACGAACAAATAATACAACAAACAGAAAAAGAAAAAGAACAAAAGCAACAATGGGGAACACTTAAAAAAAGTACGAATAAACAAGTTTTTGTGTGTTCATTTAATGTTGAATTATAGCTTTAAACGATAAGGAAATACTTAGTCAAGCACTTGTCTTTATGGTTGCTGGTTATGAAACAACAAGCGTATTAATGTCATTCTTTTTCTATGTCATGGCAACAGAACCAGTTATACAAGAAAAAGTTTATGAAGAAATTCGACAAGAACTTGGAGATGTAAGTGAAAATAATATTAGAGATTAATCATGTTTAATAGTTTTGTTAAGGATGAAGTTACTCACGAAAAACTTAGTCAACTTCACTATATAGATATGACTATCAATGAGACACTTCGAATGTATCCACCATTCATTAGGTTAATGTCTTTGATCCTTCTCTTCGTATATACATGCCTATTTGTATGATAGATTTGATCGTGTCGCTTCACATGATTATAAACTTGGTGATTATCATATACCAAAAGGTTCTGTTATCAGTGTACCTGTTTATCCAATCCATCATGATCCTAATCTTTGGCCTGAACCAGAAAAATTCATACCTGAAAGGTATAATTTAAATCTATTAGGTCTTGATCTATGAACTAATATCATTTTTTAGATTTTCATCAACAGGGAAAACAAAACGACATCCAATGGCATTTCTTCCTTTTGGTGATGGACCTCGGTAAGCAAAAAAAAAAAGAATCTATTTATTGATATTAACTCAATGCCGATTAAATATTATAATTAGGAATTGTATTGGAATGCGATTTGCTTTATTAGAAGCTAAACTTGCAATAGTCAAAGCACTTCGAGTCGTGGAATTTCAAAAATGTGAAAAAACAGAAGTAAGTAAGAATTCAATTAGTATCATTGTTCTACCATTGGTATGTTCTATAGATTCCACTTCAATTGGGAAAAATGGCAATTCTGAATTCTAAAAATGGTATTTGGTTACGTGTTGTACGTCGATCAGAATAAATTATACGCATAAGGCTTGCTTTATTTTTTCTATTAGTTTTGTCTTTTTTTCTGTAAACCTATATATTAACAAACATCTTTTACCTCTACAAAAAAAAATGTATGAATCTGCATTATAATGCATCCACTGTATTCAATAATATATTTTACTACTGTAGTTACATGCATAGTTGTACTTAATGCTTTTCATTAATAATAAAATAATTATACAAACATCAGTTTGAATTTTATATAATTCAATATGATGTACTTCATATAGTATTATGCTCTGTTTGCAATCATTTGCTGTTTAATCTTGTCTAAATAATATGTTAGCAGTGTATGTAGTTCGCTTGTATGCTTCAAAAAATGACTGTTTGTAGATGACATCATCATCGAGATCGTAGATCTACCAGATGTAGAACACATCTTATAATTTTATTATGGATTCTTATGGGAATTAATAAACTCAAAGTTTTAATTCTCAAGAAGAATATTCAGATACATATTGCTCGTCGATATCAATAAAAAGAAATGACAAAATTTTCCTCTTTATTTCAATGTATATTTTGTTGCTTCACCCTTTTTTTTCTCAATTAGCAGTACACAATACTTTCTTAATGAGAATGCCATGTTCGAGTCAATTTCTTTTTGATTCTTTTTTTAAACATATAATTTGTCTAACTGTATGTAAAAATTTTCGCCAAATGACTTACGAGGAAATTTTCTTGTATATTCAACAAAATTGTATTTATAATCTTCTTCATCTCAGAAATGGAAATTATAAGGTTGCAAGATAAGAATCAGAACCAAAAGTGCTGTAATAAAATAGCTGAGAAAGAAGGATTCGCTATTATCTAACGATTAGACATGAGTTGAACCGATCGTTTTTGGTCTGAATTCCGATGGAACCGGGACCATCCTGCCCGTGTCTACTCAGAACATATGAGTCATAACAAAATGGCATTGTATGCAAGTTTTACACGATCATAAAAGGTATAATTTCCAATGAAAAAAAAAAAGTTGGTCTCGGTCTCAGTCCTACGAGAAGTAGGACCATCTTACTCATATTTACTAATAATGATAGAAAATTTAACTATGAACTATCATTCATATTCGATTATTGTAATATAGCGAAGTAAAAAAAAAGACTTTGTATGTTCCTTCAATTCAGTTAGCTCGTCATTATACATAGTTTGTTTTTTACTAAGCATCCATCATTTGGTATCAGTACTATATAGGTTTTCATCCTCGTGATAATAGTAAAGATAAAATTGATATGTGTAGTGGTATAAGAACAACAGCATAATAGTGACCTCTGATTAAGTGTTTCCATACTGGTTGAATAACAACCCATTTCGAAAAAACACGAAGAGTAATAGAAAGTGATTGATTAAACTCGTAAGTTTGTTTAGATAAAGATTTTTGTTTTATAAAATAATGATTCGCTTTATTCTTATTCAAAATCGAGCTGGTAAAACTCGTTTAGCTAAATGGTATATTTATAGAAATAAATATTTTTCTTGCAAAAGAATAAAAAGAAATCTTTTTTTTTCTCATAGGTTTATGAACTTTCATGATGATGAAAAGCAAAAACTAATCGAAGAAGTTCATGCTTTAGTTACAGTACGAGATGCTAAACATACAAAGTAAATTATAATTTTTAATGTACATGGAAATTAATTTTTTTTATTTGTTTAGTTTTGTCGAAGTAAGATAATTGATTCTTTGTTTTTTATTATACTTCTTTGAATATATTAGTTTCGTAATTTTAAAATTGTCTATCGTCGTTATGCGGGTTTATATTTTTGTATATGTGTTGATGTTAATGATAATAATTTAGCCTATCTTGAAGCAATACATAATTTTGTTGAAGTTCTTAATGAGTAAGTTAAAGTAAAATTACACAAAAACAAATATTTTTTTTTTATATATGAAGATTTTTTCATAATGTATGCGAACTTGATTTGGTCTTCAATTTCTACAAAGTATTCGAAAAACTTTTTATTAAAAAAAAGATTTCAATAAATTCATTAAATTGTAGGTATATTCAGTTGTTGATGAAATGTTTTTAGCTGGTGAAATTCGAGAAACAAGTCAAATTAAAGTTTTAAAGCAATTAACAACATTAACATCACTCGAATAAATATGTAATGAATTAGCAAAATAAAAAAAAATAATTTTTGATCTTTTTTGTAAAACAATTAAATGATATTATCCTATGATTATAAATAAAATAATGTAAAATGAGTTCTTTTTTCTTTTGACTTTTATTCAGACATGAGAATTATGAATACCGAAATAAGATTTTGCGATTTGTTTTTTGTTTTTCAGAGGTATTCATTGTGAGTAATAAGTATTTTTGTCGTAAATATGGGTCGAAAGCATGAGATTGGCAATTCTACATCAATTGTTGATCAATATCGAAAAGAATTAGGTCTGTGTTATTTTTCAAATATGGCATTTTGTTTCAATGATTTTATTTTATAACAGGCCGACAAGAAAAAAAAGTTGTCACTGAACGTCGTCGTGAGATAAAACGATTGAAATCAGAACAAGAAACTGTATCTTATTGGAAGGTTAGATTATATTATCGATTTGATTAATATATATGTATTGAAATCCGAGTGAGTTTGATCTTCCAAGAAGGCAGAAAAGATTCAAAATTTTTTTCAAGGTGTTACATTTTGCTAAATTTAAGCTTTTATGAATTTGATTATAGCTTCGAAATTAAGTCCTTTCACCAGTTAATGCTATTGTAATCATTATACAGTACAGTGTTGAGATTACTAATTGGATACGCTCTCTTGAATCTAAAACTTTTCTGAACTTAACTAAATAGATTTTATTATTAAAAGAAGTCATTTGAATCAATAGTTTCAATAATATAAATTGCCTTTTTGCTTTTGATAAGAAAGTTTTTCATCAAATAACTTTAACGTGTTAAAATGAATTAGATTCAGTTGCCAATAATTGAGTTCGAGAATTTGAATACGAGTATGAATGATATTAAAGAAGAAAAAAAAACGTGTTACTAATAGTTTATAAATAAAATACTGATAGAGCAAAAGAAATTTCAATGAAAAGAGGCAATATACAGTACTTGGTCCAACACATAAGACCAACATATTTTCATTTCTATAATGCCAAGCATTTATATCAAATTAAAATATAGATTCGAATAATCAATGAAGTTCTCTATCAAATGCATTTTACACTCGAAACTTCATATATGAATTATGAGAGAAAGATTTCTGAAAAACCAAACACAATAGTTTTCAGGCTCCAAAAAACTGTGAAAATTAGTTTTTATGAGTAATATTGTGGCTAGCACAAAATACTGAGTAAAATGAGGAGTTGCCACGTTTTCTGTGGTCTTTCCTTCAAAAGTTACAATCATCATCAAAAAACTGAAATTTATTTAGACTTTGCAGAAGAAAACGTATTGTTTTCATTTCTTGTCATGTTTATAACTTGTTAAAGGCCGGTAATAGCAAGTGCGATAACTTATCATTTTCTTCAGAATTTTGTGCTCTCTACAATACTACTGTTAAAAACTAATTTTCATAGAATCTTCTAGAACCTGAAAACCATCGTATTTGGTTTTCCAGAAATCTGCCTCTCATACTCTCTCGATAAAATTTTGGTGTGGCATGTCTTCGACAGAGAACTTCATTGGTCATTCAAATCACGATTAGGTATTGATTTAAATCTTGGTATAGTAGAAACAAAACTGTTAGCGCTATTCCTGTGGGATTCAAATGTGAAACATGACGTAGTTGCAGTTGCTATTTGCAGGGAGATCACGTATTCTATCTATTTTGGAACACATGTCTTCACCATCTTTTTACTTAATCCTGGAATAATTCAAAAAAAGTAGTAGTTCATATATTAAAACGAGACGTTATTGATCTATAGTTTTTGATCGAATATTAAGAATGTCTTTCATGGTTTGTGACGGAAACGCGGACATTGCGAAGGTATCTGTCAGAATCTATGGGGGAAGCAGTCCAAATAGATACTCTATATTTCTTCATCACTCCTTTTAGAGCATATTTCACAAAAATCAAAAAAAGTTAGTCTTATATTTTTGACCAGTATTGAATATATTAAAACGTCGAATAACTATTTTTCGAAACTGATATAAAGATTCTCTTAACTTTAGTCGAAATAAAAATATTGGAAAAGTTCGAAAGCTGAAAGTTAGAGTTGTTAAAAAAGATTTATTCGAAAAAGTACTCATAGAGATGTTAATAGCACATGATTAATGTTGAGGTGTGAATTAAACGACTAACTGAGCCCATATCCACATCCTAATGTATTGAGAGCTTTTAAACCTGTCTTTCATTCATTCATTTTTCTAATAAATAAATTTGATTCAATTTGAACTGCTCATTTTTTTATATACTCAATGAAAAAAAGTATGCTGAAGTCTTTGTCAATATATCTGTTTTAGACCGTAATTAAGATTATCGGTATAATAAAAATTTCGATTCATAACTTTTCGACCTGGTAATGCTGACTGAAACGCGAGCTCTTTAGAACAAATTTTCTTTTTGTTTGGATAAGTAAATTAAACATCATTAGTCTCGATACATGTCTGTTTAGCAATTGGAATTTGATTGGTTTATCTTGGTCTATTTCTATTCTTTCAGAGGATCATATGGATGCTCGCTGGTGTATTATTTCTTGTTTTTATTATTTATGTTTCACTTACGTATTATCTTACTCCAAAAGATACATTTTAAGAAAGACAATAACAAAAAAATAACCTATTCATTAATCATAAAGTCATTGGATACATGAAACCTTATTTATTTAATGTTAACATATTTGGTACTACTTTGTTTTATATACAAGACATGATATCATTTTTAAACTTTTGATTTGGGTGTGTTGTTGTTTTTTATTTGTTTTATTATTTATTTCTTTAATTTCATTTTTTTTTTTGGATTATTTCTCTTGAAAAGAAAAGAATACTTGTAGATGTTTCCAAAAACTTTATTAACACGATTATTAAATATTCAATATCCGCTCATTCAAGCACCTATGTCTCCCTTAACAACACCAGAACTTGTTGCTAATGTATCGAATGCAGGTGGTATGGGTACAATAGCTGCAGCACGAATGACGAGTGAACAGTTAAAAAATGAAATAAATCATATACGTTCATTAACTGATAAACCATTTGGTGTTAATCTATTTATTCCATCAATAGAATCTAACGTTTCATCTCAAACTATTGATTCTGTACGAAAACAATTAAAGGAATTATTACTTGATAAAAGATTGAATAATTGTAACATCGATATTGATTCACTTCCAGTAAAACTTCCGAAAGATATTTTTTCTGAACAGATTGAAGTTGTTCTAAATGAAAAAGTTTCTGCACTTTCATTTACATTTGGATACTTATCAGATCATATGATAAAGAAATGTAAACAATTAGGTATTCGATTAATTGGAACAGCAACAACAGCAAAGGAAGCTATTTTCTTAAAAGAACAAGGATGTGATGCAATTTGTTTACAAGGTTCTGAAGCTGGTGGTCATCGAGGTAGTTTTCTTACAAATGATAATGAAACGATTGAACAGTCTACAATTGGATTACAATCTCTTCTTTCGCAAACAACACAGTTTATTGATTCAACATCATATCCATTGATTGCTGCTGGTGGAATTATGGATGGGTTAGGTTTAGCTAATGCGCTAATATCGGGTGCTTCAGCTGTTCAAATGGGTACTCGATTTTTAGCATGTCATGAAAGTATAAAACTTGTTCCTGAAGCTCATCAAAAGTTATTATTAGAAGCTAAAAATGATATTAATAAACTTCGACCAACAGTATTAACTCGTGCTTATACTGGAAAACCAGCACGTGGTATACAAACAGCAATTACTGATTTTTTTCGTACTAGTGAAAATAAGGAAAAAGTTATATTACCATGGCAAATACAGTCACAACTTGTATTACCTTTGTGTAAATTTGCGGCTGAGACAAATCAAATTGATTTTATGCAATTATGGGCTGGACAAAATTATGCACGATGTGAAAGTCAATCAGCAGCGGCTATTGTTAATCAAGTTATTGAACAAGCTCGTGATGTATTAAAATATTGAATATTAATTTATCGTTTTTTTTTGTAGTCAGTTTTGTAAAAATTGAAGACTTTTTTAAAGTAATTATACAAGTATTGTTTCGATAGTTTACATAAAATCAAAATAGATTATGTGAACCTATCTGACTGGTTTGTTGAACTACTTGACATGAGAAACAAAAAAAATGACATTAACCGTATGAATAAGTATCTATGAAATTCATTACAAATTTTAAAGAAATACATCTTCAAAATATGTGCATGATATATTTTGATTTTACTCAAGATGATTTCAATATATTGAGATGTGATTTTTGTCAAAATGTAGCTCTGTCTTTATACTTTATCTACTCAAACTATCAGCTTACTATGCCATATAGTTACTCTGTCACACTAGAAATACTAAAAACGATTTGCTTCAATATTGTTTAAAATTGATCAGCTACTACAAGCAAAAATAGTTGAATTCTGTACTTCACATTTCATCCTTTTCAATGAAAAGACAGATTTATAAACCTTATTAGCACAGTTCCTGTCAAATTCAATTGTGAAATACTATGTAGCTGCTGATACTAATCACAGAGAGAACATTTTATTCTATTTATTTTGGTACATATATTTGCACCATCCTTTTACTAAATCCTCGAGAAATGCAATGACGAAGTAGTTCATATATTAGAACGAGATGTTATTCAGACCCGGCCTTTGATCGTTTATGAACAATGTCCGTCACACAGTCTGCGACCTGAAGAGGGAGTAAGCAGTGTTGCCTAGATGTCTGCCATGGTCTATAATATAGAAGAGGCGTTTCCTATACTTCAACACTTCTTTGATATTGGATTTCATAAAATGTTTTAAAGAAGTTTTACTTAATTTATAGTGAAAACATTGTAAAAAGTGCAAGTTTGCGTTCAAAAGAATGAAGTACGAGAATTTAACCGTAGAAACACAAAGCCATCCATTAGATGTATGATCACTTTGGAGTGCCATTGCATGTTTGACATGAGAATTAATGTCAAAAATACTTGCTAAAAGAGAATTCAATCGAAACTGATAGATATTATTTGCAAATTAAACATTTTTTCTCTATTGATTTGACTTAAATTCAATTCTATAATTGTATTTCACAAAAAAAAATTACAAATAAACATACAAAATTTTACTCGCACATCTGACTTAAATAATTTGTAAACGATGTGCTCGATGTTCGGATATAATTATTCGATCATTTTTAAGTAATAAAATATCATAAGGTCCATTGAAACTTATCTTTGAATATACTAATTCAGTTATACTAAAATCATGATTAAATATCATCACACGATTATTTCCATCATCACAAACGAATAATTTTTCTGTTGTTTCATCATATGCTAAACCTAATGGACGAGAAAATTCTTTTAAAAGTTTACCACGATGACCAATCGATAATAAATGGTTTCCATCACTATTAAATATTTGTATTCGATCATTACCCCAATCGGATACAGCTAAACGATTACCATTCATTATACAAACACAAGCTGGACATTTAAATTGTCCATTATCAGTGCCAAGTTCACCCCAAGCAAGAAGAAATTCACCTTGTTCATTATATTTTAATATTTGATGACCACCAGCATCACATACAAATATATCATTTTGTTCATTTGTACATAAATCGCATGGAGTCAAATATTGACCAATAACATGACCATATTGTCCAATAACACGAATTAATTTAAAATCACGATTAAAGACTTTTATTCGACGATCAGATTGATCAATTAAATAAAGACGATTATTTGAATCAATATGAATTGCATATGGATGATGAAAACGTCTTTCACCTGTTTCGCTTATAGCTTTATAAACTTGTTGAAATACACCATCAATTCCATATGTTACAAGACGATTATTATAGGTGTCACATACATCTAAATCAAAAATAAATATTAGAAATAAAAAAAAAGCTATTTTCTTTTTTTTTTCTTAATTTACAAATCAATTGATCTCGTTTCGAATAAGCTAATGATGATGGATGAATAAATTCTGTATCACGCGTTCCTCGTTTACCAATTATACGTGGTGTTCGTTTATGGTTTTTTGATGATGATGGACAACATTTATTTTCATCAATTATCGATGAATTTGATAATTCACTTTGATCTTGTGATGTACTACTCAAACTATGAATAAGTTCTTTCGAACAATGTTGTACATTTTTATCAATTGAACAATATTTTAATTGTGAAAGTTGAATAGAACTTTCGATTGGTTCAAGTTCCGTTTTCATTTCAACAAAACCCAATGAAATAGCATCGAATGATATATCTTGATTAAAAAATGAAATCTATAATAATGATAGAACTAAAAGTTTAATAGATTATTTTTTTGTTATAACTTACTCGACGTCGAGGCGTTTTAACAAGAAAAATTTGATTTTGAAGATTATTTATATTTATAACATATTCTTCAAATTTTTGTCGAATTTCAATAGCTTCTTGATCTGTTTCTTCTTTACTATAATCAATGAAATCAACAATATCAAATTATATATCACTAGATATTCATATTCCTACCTGTATAATTTTTCTTGAGAACTTAAGCAAAATGTTTTAATTTTTGTAAGATCTTGAAATCGACTATTCTTTTCTTTCAATAACCTTAAAAAAAACAAGTTGACATGTAAATACATTACGAATATAGATTAAAAGTATGATATTAACTTTTGTTCAGTATTATTAAATTCTTGTATACTTTGAAGTAATTTTTTTTCTTCTTGTTTTATTTTATTTATAAGTTCGTTAACTTTAAAACGAATTGTATTAGCAATATCAGTTGTTTGATGAATATTTTCTTCATGATTTTTTATATTTTCAACTTAAATAATTAAAATTATGTGAAAAGAAAATTTAATTGCTTTGTTTTTGTTTTATTTTTACCTTCTTTAGCAATTAATTTTTCTGTTTCTTGTTGAGTTTCATTTAATTTTAAACAAATATATTTACGAAATTCATCATAATGTTGTCGACGACATTTACAACATATCGCTTCACGACAATGTTCACATATCTATATATAAATCAAATAAGCTTTTCAATAGAATGACTTCATAAAACAAAAAGACTTTTACAGTTATTGTATCATCTAATTTACAAAGAGCACATTTAGCTTGAAGCATAGGTCTTGATTCCGTATATGAATGATTTTCAAGTAAATTAATAATTGTTCGATTAACTTCAAATGAGCCAACACCGGAAAACGGTACTCGATAACATCCACGACATACCGGACCTGAAATATAATTATTTCTCATTGAAATTTTTAAAAAACATGTAAATTTTACATCGACTCCAACGGTCTACTGTAATTCTTTCAAGACATGATTTACAAAAATTATGTTGACAAGGTAATTGTAATGGTTCACGAAAAATTTCAAGACAAATTGGACTTAAATTAAATAATAAAAACATTTATTTTAAATAAATGAATAAATATTTATATATTTACCATGTAATTAATGGTAGAATAGTTTTTGAACTATAACTAGATTTGATCGTACTTATACTAGAACTACTGTTATTAACGTCGGACATGACCTATGGAAAAAAATAAATTTAAATATTATTTTATTATTATACTAAGCCTTTGTTGATCTATCAATTTTTTCATTATTTTAAAGACTTCTTCCAATAAATCAAAAACATGTATATCTGATATATTATGCCAGTATGATTAAAAATTATATATATATATATATATGTATGTATATGTCTTTGATAGGTGGTTATGAACTTTAAAGAGAAAAGGAGAAAAAAACGGGAGGAAAGGTAAAGCTAGAGAACAAACTGTAAATATTAGGGACGATTCGTCAACAGCCATAATAATAATAATCATAGAACGAAAGAACATATAAGAGATGTCAAGAAGAATTATGTTCAAATTTAAGTCCAAGCTTTAATATTTGTATCGTGTGCAGGCAAAAAAAAAAGTAAATATTTCAACTCACATAGCCCAACATGATTTATCTTAACTCTTATAATCACGAACAGTATCAAGAGCACCAGCTGGAATCGCTCTTTCTTCTTTGTGTTAATATATACATATATATATGTATAAATGTGCTTGTTCAATCAATAAAAAAAAAATGAATATTAGTGATGGTAGCTATAAGATTAGATCACCATCATCACTAACATAAGTATTTCTTCAATGATGAATGACCTGTATCGATATTAATACTCGTAATAGTTATGCAATACAAAAAAAAAGACGAGAAAATGAATACATATATTTCTATCAAGGTCTTTTCCTCTGCTTTAGGTGATCGTCAGTCATAATGATAAATGCCTAACATCTGTGAAAAAAGGTTGTCGCTCTTTTTCACCTATAGTATTTGAGAAAGAAACATTACAATAGAAGATCACTTAAATTATATATTATCATATTGTTGGTAGTGAAAGAATATCTTCAATTAAAATTGAAAGAGTAAACTAGATTAATCATAACAAATATTAATGTTAATCAAATGCATATATTTTACTAAATTCAACAAAGAATAATCAATTCTTTGCACACACTCATATTCCATATTAAAAGACATCGAGTAGGCGAAGAAAAAGAGAGAGAAAGATTGAAAAGGCACTTTTCTTTTTTGTAATCAGAGACTAAATATTCTTACTTGAGTTGTCTTGTTTCTCATCTAAGAATCAATAAAATAGACTTCGATAATTGTTGTTTCTGTTCTTCTCAGAAATATATAAGAGGAAAACAATATTGTCTATATCCGATGAACTAGAAGATAATTTCTTCTTTGTTCTCATTTATTTTGTATATATATACAGACCGCAGGGATATAAACAAATAAGCAAACATTGATGAATATTTTTTTTTCTTCACTATTTTTCACTGATAAGAGTGTTACAAATATTCATCATACATGATTATATGTACTAATGAATATCATTTAATTTTATGAATCAAGTCAATGAAAAACAAATGCGTTGATGAGAATTTTATAAATTACTTCTTGATGAGATTTTGTAAATTATTCGTTTTTTTTTGTTCGTCAGTTGACATTGAATTATTAAATCTTTCCTAAAGTATTAATCGGATTTAGAAATGAGGAAATTTTATATGTCAATGAAAAACAAATGGATAAAATCGAACTACACTTTAGTTTTGATTTGCGTGAGATCAACCTTCAGATTTACCTTGACAAGTAAAAATATGTTGAATTTTATCATAAGCAATACGATGATGAATTTAACTGATTCTTTTTCTCTGAAATGTTAACATGTTTTCGTTTTGTAACATGAGAAAAAAAGCAGTCATTAAAAAAAAAAACAACTTCTTTTTTACTCTAAACATATAGCAAAGGTATTACCGTTTACATTCTGTCACGTTATGAAATTGCATTCTATCAATACATAATGCACAATAAAATGTATATATTATGAAAGATTGGATCAACATTTAAAAAAATAGATTTCGTCTTTTGCGACATTTTTTTTGTTTCTTTTGAATGTTTGATACTCATGATCAGCACGATCACTTTCGTTAACTCATGTTCGGTATTTGTGAAACGATATGATGAAGAATATCATCACAGAAACTTGTGCAGTTTAATCACCAAGACAAGCGATTAGCTTACGTCGTGCATTTCGATTGTCACAATTATTCATAGCTTTGAAAAATGCACTTGTTTACTAGCAATAGTTCATGATTTATGATGATAAACAAAATCAATAAGATCTATAACGTTAACTATGAAAAGATTTTTGCATTCGTTTCAGAACAAAGTCAAGTTAATGTCCAAAACAAAGTCATTAGTTTTGGTAAATATAAAAGAAATAAAAGAAATACCAACAAAAAAAAATATTCTTCAATAAAAATTCTTTTTTTTTCTTACGATCTATATTCTCAGTGAAAGTCTTATCAATATTCAAGCATAGATGTAGTAAAAAATTCTTTTGTATACATGCTGCTTGACTGACCATTTGTCATACTGCTCATTTAACTGATGATCTATTCACTATAGTGTAAAGTATCCGTTATGTGAATCTTCATTTACTCAAATGACATTATCGTACAAGATTGTTTTTTTCGCTCCATCATTTTATGCTTATTCTCAGTCATTGCATAACAATCTTTTTCATTTACTTTTATATAGTAATTAATGAGTATTTGATGATCGAAGTGGATATATTCTGATCAATAATTTTTTAACTTTTCACTTCACTGGATCTATAGAATTGAGTGGAACTTGTCAATGCAAAAATGATTCCTTGTATATCTCAATTAATAGCTTATCTTTATGATCTCTTGTTTTCCAATAGCCAATTAACTCGATTTCATATTTAAACCATCGAATTTCACTTTATTTTTACTTTAAATTCAATAACTTTCTATTCACATACGTGTGAATAATACCATTGAGAAAAAAATCATCTTACATGGAGTACTACTTCATTGTCTTCCATTCTCTATTTATCATTGTTTTCTAATGGAAAATAAGCATTAAAAAAAATACTATATCCATTTTCATGTAATTACAATGAAGAGAATTTACGATTATGAGTATTACATGTTATCAACACTGATGGTATTTATCATTCATCAAGTATTCTCTTTATTAGTTGAGCTAATAAAATTCAATGAAATTTTTCGCTGACATATGATATGTCAAGTGAAGGAACAGCACGAAAATCTCTTGATTATTATGTCTGTCTCATCGAAAGATATACAGATGTTTACATTGAAATGACACTGCAAGAATTACTGAAGAATGTAAAAATATTAAAAGAAACATTTTTTTTGTATTAATTTTGCATTCGTTGTTTTTAAAATTAGAATTTAGAAGTTCATATATATCATATGAATGTTTTTGAAAGAAATTTTTCGCGTTTTTCTTGATAAACATGATGATTAACAAATTTTTACTTTAACTTCTAAAAATCTCGACATTTTTTTTTGTTATATACATAAGTCATTCGTGATCTTTTTCATTTTTCAGAACTATGTAGTTACCTCTTCCGATGCTGCTTTTCCTCTCTTAAAGTCGAACTTTTTTCATATTCGAAAAGGTTCGATCATGAGACTGGTTTTTGCAATATAGTAAAACAAACTTATATTAACAATCCTATTAATGCATTATTATTTTATAGAATGTAATGCATTTATTAAAATCAAAAGAGTTCAGAAAATAGTATTTTTCCGTCTGAACAATCGTATTGTCCGAAAAATGTCGTTTATCAAGTTGAAACACTTATCCAAGGGAAACATAGTAAGAAATTGACTTTCAAAAATGGCATTAATACGTAGTTAGGTATGTGTGATACTGCTTAAACGATAAAGTGTTGTTTCCTCAACTCACTAGAAAAAATCAATCTTTAGATATGGATAAATTTATGTTAAAGTGGTTATTTAGGCCACCCTATTGTTGTTTGAGCTAATTATCTTTGGAAGATCATATTACTTCTTTGCTTCATTTTTAAATTGAATAATTTTCTAGTTGATACTTTTAATAGCGAAGAGACATATTATCAACGTTTAAATTTCATCAATGTTTACTTGTGTTTTTATTACAAGTAACTGTTGGTGTTGACATCAATTTATGAAACGTACTTTTAATAGATTACATTCATGAAGTTCAGATAATAAAAAATCAAAACATTTTGTACATCATATGAATCAATTACTAAGATTTCATGAAAGTCGAATAAAGCTTTAATCTTTTTCAAGATAATTGTCAATCAATCGATTTAGAATAGCTTAAGAAGTTTTTTTATCTATCGAGTTTTTTGATAATTCTTTTTTTTTATTTGATGAAATGAATTGTTGGTGTAAAAAATGAATGGTACTTTTGATTTCTTCGAATCATTTGTTCTACCTTGTGGTCAATTAAATTTTCAATTTAACATTTTAATTCTTTATCTCAAGAGATTTGGCAATAATGATGAATAGAAATAGCGAATACAACATAGAATGTGCACCTCATCGCCGAATTGAATACTACCAAAACTAACGATCGTCGAATTCTTTTCAATCATCTATGCTCGTGAGTTTCTTTTTGGTGCTTGTTTCGTACATCTACCTTTTCTGAATATTTATCATATATATTCATACATATATATATAGGTATACTGCAGGTATCATTTCAGAATATCGCCGAAACTTAGATTACCGAGATTTGATGAAGAACATTCTGACCGTAACATACTCATAATTAGTTGTTTGAAAGTCTTCTTAAACGAGAAGAATTAAAAAACTGAATGACATTTCAATATATGGTATTTTACATTTCATAAATCAAATATCTTTGTTGAATAATAAATCTTAAGGCATCATAAAAAAATTTTAAGCACACAAGGAAGAATCATGTTATTTATTAATAGAAAAGAAAAACAATCTTTTTTTCTGCTTATCATTCTGCATGTAGTAATCGTTGGTATTCGACTGAACGAAAACGATCATTTGAATCAAATTGTGATTCATCGTCCATTATCCGATTTGTTGTTGAACTCGTATTTGAAACTAGATAAAAATAAATAAATACATAAATTCATATTCATGTCTACATTTACTTTCAGTATTGGTTGCAAATTCAAATGGCGAATCATTTAATCGAGTATATTGATAATTATTATCAAATCGTCGATTATTTGGATTTGACCGACGTTTTGACTTTAAATAACAAAATAATGAAAAACTGATTAAACATGAAACGATAGCAATCATAAATAAAATAGTATAGATAGATTTTACATGAAATGGATTCGAAAATAAATTCGAGGGTGTGGGTGCGAGTGTGGGTGTGAATGTGGGTGTGGGTGTGGGTGTGAGGGTTCCTTCGACGCAGACCCACCCACACACCCACACCCACCCACACACCCACACACACCCCACACCCTATTATACTTTGCTATTAGTTTCAAAATCAGAAAGAACAAGTTCCATTAACACATCTTGGACGCTATGGTACTGACGTTCGTAATGCCTATATAATAATTTATCATATAAAGTTCATCATTTGGAACATGGCGAATCAATCTGTTGAAATGAAATATAAGCTATTTTAAATAAGTCGATAAATAAAAGTATATCCAAAAGATTTCTATGCTATATATTTCGCGATTAAAACTGCAGTTTAGAGAAAAGTGTAGTCTTCTGTTTTTCAGAGTAATTCCGGCAAAATGTCCATATGTAAAAATCTATTAACTACTTCAAGAAAAAAAGAGCATCGATAATGTTGATGAAGTTAATGACTCGTGTGAGTATGGATGTAAGTGAATAGAATGCTGCACCCACACCCTTATATTTTTATTTAAAATTATATCTCGTACATAACTAATAATTGTTCTTAAAGAAACAGGTAGAATAAGTGGTGAAGCCATTATTGATCAAACTGTCATTTGTGTTCGTGATTAAGCTGACTTAAACCAACATTTTCAATTAAAATCTAGAAAAAATTATAAAAGTGGGTGTGGATCTTTTCACTTGAACCACATCCACACCCTGAAATAATTTCTGCGCTGTTAATGTCATGACAAGACGAGGAAAAGAAGAAAAAATATAAGAGAAAAACAAAGAAAGAACAAAAAAAGCATGCAAGAATGATGGTATAATGTAATGCAACCAGTCAGTTTTCAACAAAAACAGTTCTTGCCAATTTTTTTTATTCTAATATTGAGTGAATATCGATCAGATAGCATGGAAAGATGCTCCATCTATTCATAAAAGAAAGAAAACGTTTTTGCTTACTATAAGGAAATAAGACTTTGGCAGCATTACTTTTCGANGGCGAATCATTTAATCGAGTATATTGATAATTATTATCAAATCGTCGATTATTTGGATTTGACCGACGTTTTGACTTTAAATAACAAAATAATGAAAAACTGATTAAACATGAAACGATAGCAATCATAAATAAAATAGTATAGATAGATTTTACATGAAATGGATTCGAAAATAAATTCGAAGAAAAGAATTTCTCTACCTAGAATATTAAAAGCAATAAATCATTCAATTAATTTATTAAATATTACTGAATAGATAAATCGATGCGTTGTTGAAGCATATTTTTGATGACATATTTCTTTTAAATTAATCGATTGATACCAATCTAAAGCAGGTACTCTTTTTATCAAAACAAAAAATAAAGAGTTACCTATATCTATGTAAGATCATATTTTTTTTAGCTTACCGAGTTAAAAAAGTTCCATTAACATCACATTGAATTTTTGCTTTATTCAAAATATCATTAAATGTTTGACATTCAGGTGTACAAACATCAAAACCAGCAGAAATATCATAATAACATTTCTAAATTTCTTTTGTTTTTCAAATAATTCGATGGATTAAGCATAACAAAAGCTTACCTCAATTTGAGGCCAAAAAGCATAAAGCATATGAAGAAGATAAACGATTTCTTCTATACACTCAGTTGAACTCCAACGTTCTTGTTCATTATAAAGAGTACATAACATTGGTAATAATTTTAATGTCGGTATGCTCATATTCTATGTTCGAAAAACAAAATTTTATCAAAGAAATTTTATTTATTTATTTATTTTTACCGTATTCGAAAGTATTGGGCATGTATTAATAAATACTAATAGTCGTGAATGACATTGCTCTAAGTAACAAAATGAACGTCCACGTTCTTGTATAATACTATAAGTGAAATAAATATCACTTTCGGATAAATTTTTCAAACACCATTTAATTGGTACACAAAATTCATTTAATTTTTGTAGAATTATTCGATCAACAAGAACATCAGAAAGATGTTGCAATGTATGAAATTCAATATTTGATTGACGTATTAATAAATTTGTATTATTATCAATTGAATATGTTTCACATATATCGTTTAATTTCATATTTGAATCACAATGTTTTATACGAGCAAGTATATCAATTACACGATAAGAATTCATTTGATCAACAAGTGAATTAACTGATGCTATTGTTGATACTGTTTGAGATGTAGTAGATGTTTGTGATAATGAAGATGATGTAAATTCATTTTCAATTATTTTACTTGTTGATGTGTAACTAGTTGATAGAACATTGAGAATTCGGGATGAAGATGAAAATGTATTCGTTGAATTTTCAATATTTATTGATGAACTCCATAATAATGATACATTCATAACAGAATCGTTAACATCAAAAATATCTTCTAAATAGATAAGCGTACTGTTGAAGACAATTTGAATCAACTTGATGCTTTTTCTACAATTGACAAGTTTCGAGTACAGTCATTCAACTCTTTATTAAATATTACACTATATTAATCATAGACGAATAAGCCACTAGACTTGTGTAGACTCGAGCCTACCTTATATTGGATAGATCAGAGTTTAGATGAGTTCTGTTTAATGTAAAAATTGTCTATTACGGTTTAATTTTCATTCTGTTCTGATAGGTGACATTTTATTACAAGTTCCGTACACATTTGATCTATTACGAACTCGTGTTCCATAAGCATAGGTGGCACAACCACAAGACTTGTACAGGTCAACGTCTATTTTATATTCACATTTCGTAGACTATGATTGGCTCAAACACTTTTCACCGTCCATCAGATTGATAGATTTGAACAGTACATCATATTTTTTTTTGTACAAACACCTATATTTTTCGTCGCCTCCGACGGCTAATAACAACATTTTCTCAATCAAGCAGACTTGGAAAACGTTTTTTAAGAAAACATTGAGTTTTGTACAAATAAATATTAGATCGTAACATCGTCAGTGAATTGAAGTGAGAGCCCTTCATTACAAGTGAAAAAATTCTGTACGAAAAATCTGGGTCAAATTAACTAGAATCTGCCAAAACTTCTCTTCGCCTTCAGAGACTAAGGTTAAATGCCTATTAAACATTTTGAACAGTGAAAAAGCTCACAATGAAATATCTTTTTATGAAACATTTCTGTTTCACCATTAACCTTTTTTTCCAATAGAATAGATCAAAATCATGTCTCTTGAAGATCACATTTTGATGGACATAAACATTCGCACGTTTCTTCAAACGCATGTTTTTTTAAGTAAATTTCAAATTTTTTTTTTATCTACATCACTGTTACACGTTGCAACATTACAGTCTACTTTTTTTTGTCTATGTCCAAAGAGTAAATGACATTTGTAAGTAATATAGAAAGAAAAAAAAATAACTACAACACGATAGATTCGCGAAAGAAATTTTATCGTGCGACCGGATTCCATGGCTAGTTATAATTTCTCAAACTCTTCTCTCTCATATGTTTGGAATAAGTCAACCAGCTTTTCATTAATGATTAGATGCATGTTTTGCGTTCTAGAATAGCTTGTAAATTTAAATTGTAAATAGTCATGTCACGAGATACGAATATTATATATATATCCTCAACTGAAATTGTTATTCTCATTGACCTTGACTGCAAAATTAATCAGGCTCCGATTCGGAAACAATTAAAATGGAACAGTCTATCCTAATTATCAATCAGGAATGAGTTGTAAGTAGGCCTTTATCTATTAAAGGATTACTAAATTCATAACGATAATAGTCAAAATGTTGTAATTATTCTTTCTAATTTGCTTACCAGCATTATTATCATAGAATTGTTCGTCTGTCGAGTCAATGGTGACAATTAATAAAATGAATAATATTAAAATTCTACTCAAAAAATGTATAATATAAACCATGATTCTATTGACATGCGTTTTGGTAAATGAAAAAAATTACTTAATATATAATATTAAAGTTCGTCTCTTTACTATTGTTTATTTTCTATGCGTAACATATTGCACCAGCTGTTTCAAAGCAAACAAAGAATATATATATTAAATTAATCATTTTTCTTCTTTTTGCTCCTTCTCATTTTATTTGATGATTCAAGTCAGATATGAAACGTCGTTTTTTTTCTTCATACATTTCCGTTTCTATATTCTATCTTCAATCAAACCGCATAATTTGATCGTGTCATTAACACTGTTAGATTTCGATAGAATAGAAATGCACTTGACTTATAATTTATTATTGATCTTTTAATAATATAAGCATGATGTAAAATAAAAAGGAAATGAAAAACAATTTTTTTATACCATATTGAAATGTGAAAAAAAAAGAAATTGAAGCAGAAGGCGAAATTTATAATAAATTGATTTTAAGAATAGCAACAAGAAAAAAATATTTAATAGGTCATTATTTATGCTAAGTGAATTTTACTACATAGACAATTATTGTCATATATTCATGCAGATGTTTTTTTCCAGGTGCTTTATATGTTATCATCAAGGCAATGTGCTAATAATAGTGTGTGATTTTTTAATTCACTCAAAAAAAAAAGTAAGAGAAAAAGAAATAGTATACAACAGAACAATAAGATGTTTGGTTTTTTTTTTGTCTATATTAATAAGGTAATGATGGTGAGATTGCAGTAGATGTGCTTGTGGCTGATAGTCCTCCTGTTCCAGTTGATGTTGTACTTGCTGTTGGACTAACCCAATAAGATGATGAAAGATATGGATTAGGCGTAGGAAAATTAGCTGCATAGTCATATGTACTTGGATGATTCCAATAATTTGTATAAGCTGTTGATGCAGCAGCAACCGCTGTTGTTGGATGATGATGATGTGGCATATGAACAGCTGATGTTGTTGCTGCTGCTGAACTTAAGGCACTCCATTTAAAATAAGCAGCATGTGCATGTGATGAACGCATCATTTCTTGTTGATATTTTGTATATGGTGATTCTGATAATTGTGGTTGATTTAATTGATGTAAACCATTAAAATCAAATTTATATGCATAACGTTTACCATGAACTTTTGTCATTATATTTTTATCATAATAATAACGTAATGCACGAGACAATTTATCATAATTCATATTTGGTTTAGATTTACGTTCACCCCAACGACGTGCAACTTCATCTGGATCAATTAATTTAAATTCACCATTAGAACCTTCCCATGCAATGACATTGGAATTTGCACTTGCATCAGCTAATAGTTCAAGTAAAAATTGCCATAGTTGTATTTGTCCTGTACCTAACAGAAAAAAATATAATAAATTAAATTTCGAAATCTCTTGTTTTTGATGAAAATATATACCAGCTGCTCCACTACCAAATCGATGTGCATTATGAGGGAAAAATGATTGACTTGCAAATGTTGAATAAGGATCTAAAAAGAAAATAAATTTAAGATAAAATTCTTCTTTTTTTTTTCATTTTTTTACCTCTCAATCCATGTGGTGATTCAGATTTAACCAATGATGACCACGAAGATGACTGTTGTTGTTGTTGTTGTTGTTGTTGACCTGTATTTGAACTAGAATCATTTGCGGTATTTCCACGTCCTGATCCATTTTCATACTCATGTTTAAGTCTCGAACCATTACCACCACCAGCATTTGTTGATGAAGTTGATGACGATGTAGATGAGGGAGTTGTCGTTGTGTGATAGCCAACTACAATTAAATAAACATGATGAACTAGTAGAACAATCAATTTTTTGATTGATAATCGATTTAATTATTTCGTTAAAGTAACTAATCAAAGAACAAATGATTGATAATTGAAAGTTAGAAAAAAAAATAAAGAACGATCAACGACATTTCCTCTTTATTCTTTCAATGAAATGAACAATAGTTTAATGAAAATTTAATTGCAAAAAAAAATTTATTCTCTTACATTCATCACTAGCCTGTGTTTTTTTACCAAAAGAAAACATACGGTAGTCAAAAAATAAAGGTTTGTTATACTTAATTATTTGCGCAAATCTTTCAAGTGTGTTTCTCTCTAATCTTTTATCGACACTTGAAATAAGCTAAAAAGTAAAGATAAATACTCTTTTTTTGCCCTCAATTGTTATTCTTTCTGTATATTTCTAATAAAGGGAAAAGAAATAAAAAACTTACAACTATCGGAAATGTTCGATATTGTGCCACCAATACCTAAAGATGTCCATGCGTGTTTTGATGGTTCTACAATATAAAAGTATTGAAAATGTTCTATTAAAATGAATATTTCTCTCTTTTTCTTTCTTTCTTTTTTTTTCAACGGATGTACTCGACTTCTTGTATCATCGTTTCTTTTTTTCTTGTTCAACTTGACTCGAAAATATCTATCAACGATATTAGTTTGTAATAACTAGAATGAGACGAATCAATGTTCTCATATATTTTTCTTTTTCTTCTTCTTTTTTCAAAACGGAAAAACTTTGATTCCTGCTCGTGCGTATATATAAATGCATGGACCGAGCTGAAGGCGGACGGAAATCTCGGCTTCCTTGCATAGAACGACTCGCTTACCAGTAAGCATGATGTGTCGATTTTGTTATGTATATGTGTATATGTAGTTGTGGGACGGACGAGGAAAAAGGACGCCTTTAAGTCCCGGACTTCCTTGAAATTGTGTCGACGACCGACAGAGAAAAGAACTTTTTACGGAAATGCAATGGACGATTAAGAGAGATTGAATCTCCGTTGTCGCTGCCGTTAGATTTCTTCGTGGAAGTTGACGACAACGTTCAAGTAGCAATGACGAATGAGGAGCAGAAGGAAGCAGGAACTGAGGCTTTTCCGTCTCTCTTTTTCTCTTTTTTTTCATAAAAAAAAATCATTTTCATCAATGTGTGCATTTGTGCCTTTCTGTATGCCTGCGCGTCCAATGAAAATTTTCCACCAATCACAGTGACTTTTCTTCTATTGCGATGAGCCTATCTACGTGTTCGTGTGCTCATTCTTTTTCTCGTTGAACATCAAGCTCATGTAAGAAGGAGAGAAAAGAAAAGGAACGATTGGGTGGGTGTAATATTTACTTGAAGATGACAAATGACAAGGTTCTACGTGTGAATATTTTTTTGCCTAAATACATTCTATAAGTTCTTCATTAATTCAAAATTAAATTTGATCTCGTACAGACTATCGTCTTTTGTTCATTTCTTTGAACGACAACGGAAGTAGCCGTCTCTCTTTTTCTTCGTTTGCTATTTTTTATTCTGTGCTCATGTTGTCTCTTCTTTACTACATAAAGTTCAAGCATCAGTAGTTATTTCCTGTATGGTGACTGGCTGCACTGCTTTTTAGATTTTTTTTTTGCTTTTCTCTAACTACTGTCTATCCTCTGGCATCTGTGTGTTTGGAAACATAGGCAAAAGTCTGTGTGCATGTGTACGCAGAGAAAATTAACTTCCGGCATATAGTGAGTTACATTTATGCTGTGTAGCCCATTAGAGATCGATGTGACGGACAAAGCATAGAATATTTTATGCTATCAGGTGTGTAAAATCTAACGTAACAATTCAATATAAAAAATAACAGATTGGTGAGATGAGAAGAGATTTGTAGGAAAAAGAAAAAAAATTGTCAATATTAAAATGAAGATGTAGAAAGCAAATGTAAATTAACAAGAATGACAACGTAGGTGGAAGAGTGACGTCTTCAAATTGCATACGTAATGAGAGACATATCCGGTGCTAGTCAAGAAGCTTTTTCTACTTGCGTGTTGAATGTCAATAACATCTTCTAGTTCTTTTTTGACTTAGGAATCATCTACACAGGACATCCAAACACTTACTATGAGTATTAGCCCTTTTCTTTTTATATAACTTTCGGCAAAATTTTCAAGATTAGTTTATTTTGGAGAGCATTTTTCAATAAAAAAATGAACTAAACGTGAATCAGTTGAATATTAATACGATGTTGAAATAATTCAAGATTATGTGACAAGAGCGGATAGTTATCTTATGAAGCAATTATATGAGATTTTCAAGTGCTTTTGATATTGAAATTCAAGTTTTTATTTTTATTATTTTCTGCTTATTAAAACTCAATGTTTCAAAAACCAAAGCTTGACAATAGGTTACATATTTTGTTTTTGATCTATTTATATGATGAACTCTTATTTAATAAAAAAAAACAGAAGCAGCATATTTGAACAAGCAGACATTTTCTGAAAGTTTCTCTTTTTAAATTAAACGTTAGAGCCCATTGAGCTGGATCTAGTCAAGCCCAGGTACGAAAATTTTGTACCTAATGGACTTTTGTTGTCTGAAAAGTGTGTAAATTGTACTTATCATCAAATACAAAAAACTAGAAAAAAGTATCTCGTATATTCGATGTGACTATTCAATTTCGATTAGAAAATTTTATTGAGAGTATTAAAGTACAGTTTGAGAGGGTCTGGTTCCGAGTTCGAAAATTTTGAACTAGGCAGGCTCTACTGAACGTTCAGGAGGAGAAGGAGAGTAGTTCGATGAAATTGAACACATTTAGACATTGGGCGTCAAAAAATGTGATTTTGGCCTGGGTATCTTTTATGAATGATTCCTGACTGGCGTTATAGAAAAAAAAAATTCAAAGAATTTTTACAAAAAAAATAACTAATAATATATAAATTTTATTATTTAGATTTAATCTTAGCAGTAGTGCTAAGATAGAAAAAAAATATTCAAATTTATTATGAAGTATTTTGATTTCTTTTTGAAAATCGTTGGCATCGATTTAATTAACTTTCTCTTTCCCATCTATGAGTATGTATATTTATTTATCATCCAATCGTAATAAGTATATACATACACACACATATGTACATATGAGTTAATCGTCTTTCGTTTCTTTTTCAATTGCATAATCAACATTGCTATCGATCATTATTATCGATATCATGTCAATATGAGAACTGCCCTGCCCATCAAATATTAGTTTTGTGCACACGCGATGATGCAGGTGATTTATTTTTGAGCACGTGAGTAGATGGCAGAGCTAATTAGGCTAGCTATTTGTCCTATATAATAATGATGACGATGATGATGATGATGATGATGATTTTCTTCTTGAGAAAAAAGACGTTTGATCTGTAGAAAAGAAATAATAGGCATTCTCCTTTGTTGTTTGATATAAAGAAAAGAAGATGGAGGAAATACCTTAACGTTCAAGTGTAAATAATGCCCTATTAAAAATTCGCTTCAATGAACAAGGAGAAAGCAATGATTATGGCACGTGTTAGACTTTCGTATAAAAAATAAAGGTGCGTATGCGAGCGGCAAATATATAGTAAATTGCTCTTGCATCACGGCTGATTGACAGACGACTACAACAATATTGTACGTTGATGAACAATACACACTAATCGTTCAATAGATCGATGCAAGCTCAACTGAACACAACAGACGTTTGTCATTCTCATGAAATATTTAAACATGCAGTTCAATTCAACTTTTTTTTTTGTTTTTTTGCTTTCGATATTTATTAAATGATGAGCTTAGATAGAGGATTTGATTAACACGTACAAGAGAAAGACACGTGCATAGATTCGTTTGATGAACTCACTAAACAATAATAAGCAGATGCCGACATCTAAAAACGGAAATCAAATAGAAGAGAATTTTACTATGTTGTGCTTGTCGCATCAAGTTAAAAAGACTGTTCGTGATAAGTCATTTTATGTTTGTCCTCATTTGTAGTTGAATCATCATCAACCGTTCACTATAGTTGTTTTAATATGTTTTATAAAGGATTTGTCTATGTTGATCAATGACTATTATTGGCGTCATCATTTTTACTTGATTTCTACTTGATGAGGATATACATATATATATATATATATATGTATATTTGTTGTTATTATAACTGATCGTTGAAAATGGACAAAATAGCCTTAAGTCAAATGAAGGTGGAATATATCAAATTTTGTTATTATCATTTAATGATTAATAAATTATGATGTTGCTCTAGTCAAACTGTCTATCATATTCTATTATTTGGTTAACGCAATCAACTGAAAGAGAAAGAAAGCAAGCAAGCACAAAACTCCTCCTCTTTTTTTTTAATTTCGTCTTTAAGTTTCGTATAAATGAATGCAATGATATGGAATATACTATCATCTGCTTATTTAAAACGCCCTTCCATGAAATCCAACAGAAAATAAATCAATCGAAAAAGTGAGAGCTAATCTAGTTTATGGTATGACTATGTGAGAACGCAAAAGAGACAAAAATTTAGTTGATTTAATCAAATGTAATAAACAATGTCACACTTGAGTTCATCGTTGATATCAATATATTCACAAAATAAGTCATTAAGATTCTTTTTTAATATGTTAAGATTTTCACATTGATATTCTATTTTGGAGAGGAAATAGAAAAAAAAATGATGGTACCGCTAAGATCAAACATGAACATACACGTTTGATCAGAGAACTGGGAATATTTTTTGTGTCATTTTACTGAATCAACAACACGTCTACTACCTTTCTCTATTTAATGTGTGAAAATACATTAGACGAAAAAAAAAACAGACTTTTTGTTTCAATGTTTTTTGCTCAATCGTGTTGATCGTCTTATGACACTATTGATCCACAACGATGATGACAGTCAGGTCGTCTGTCTATCCATCATGAGGAACAAATGTACATTGACATAGACGTGTGACTACCGGTATTCATTTGACAAATGAACATAGACACACTTAACTGAAAATGCGATTATTTAGAGAGTAAACATATATGAACATAATCAGTGAAAAGAATAAATAAAATGAAACAAGTTTTTTTTATGTAATAGAAACATGTGAAATGAATATTTGTGTTTTGAAATGCATTAAAATGATTTTAATTGATCAACTAAACGAACAATGGATCAAGTGAAATGCATAAATTTTATCTATTCCGATATGAACAAATCAAATGCAAAGCATTAATTCTATTTTGTACTTTCTTACCTCAAAAAATAAAAAGTCAAAGAGAAATTAATGTGTTGTTAAAATTGATATTTATTGCTTTGATGGATAGGCGCATATAATAGTTGAAAAACAATGGAATAATTGAGAACACTTATTTGATATCATTGTAGAAAGTAAGCAAATGTAAACTCATATTGCTATTCATTTACTCTAAGAAAATTATTCTTTGGTTTTTTAAGAACAAAACTTTATTCTAACAGATTATCGGAAAATGTTTAGACAAGATGTTTGTTCATTTTGATCTGCCGGCAAGCATTGCAGACGAGCCAAAAACTATACATCGCGACCAGAATTAGAATATAGGCTTTGAAAATTTGTATCTATTTTTGTTCAAGAGTTTTGACGAACTTTTCGCAAAACCTGAAAAATTATTTTTAACAATGAGCCAACAGATTTTTGTTTACCCTATGATATATGGAAGTAAGTTGTAACTTTTATTCAAGTTAGACTACAAGCATTTTTTCAAGAGCTCCATTCAACGTAAAACAGTTTTTGATTTTTTAAAAAAGAGTATTTATGAAAAGCGAAAATTGATATGCCTTGTCGACAGACAAAAAAAACCCTGAAATAATACATTTT